TGTGTGTGTGTGTGTGTGTGTGTGTGTGTGTGTGTGTGTGTGTGTGTGTCTGTCTTCTTAAAGTAAAACACTAAAACGTCCTGGCCTTCTTATATTTCTCAATTTTAAAATCAGGAGGAGTCTGATAACACCTTTTCAGATTAACAAATTGTCTGAGAAGTCATAAGCTTTTATGAGCCATAGGTCACTTCATCAGATGCAATGTCATGACTAGACTGATGTGGTGTAGTATTTAAATTGGGATAAGGTGAGGGGCAGAGAAGGGGGAAGAAGGTAGAGTGGTTACACAGGCACAGGTTATACATAAAGCAAATTATAAATACCTGATTAATTGTAATGTGCTAAAAATGCATTATATATGTTGAGGATTATTTTTTGCTTGTGTAGGAAAACCCAATTTAGCATTTCAAATGCTTCGGCATATATGATGATGATTAACCAATTGTCTTATTGACAGCTTGCAGTTTGTTGAGTGAACTAAAATCCTTACAGGTTAGGAATGCATTTCTTTTGTATCATAATACAAAATCCAATGGCCACTAACTCTAGGACTCTGTTCTCTTGGTATGGTAATGAAAAAAGAAAAAAACCTGGGAGATCCTCATGCTTCGCTCCCTGTAGGGGTGGGTTCCGGCAGGCACTACTGCTGGTTTCCTCATGCGCGCGCTATGGGTGGATGCACAGCGCAATTAAAATTGTTCTGCGCATTGGAAGATCTGAAAAACAAGATGGCGGCGCCTACGGTGCTGCCTGGGAACCAGTTCAGGGGCGTGGCAGGCCTGGGTCACTGCCAGTCCCAGTGACCCAGGCCACCAAACCATTACCGGTTCGGCCAAACCAGTCTGAACCGATAGGAACCCACCATTAACTCCCAGAGGGACCTTCCTAAATGAAACTCTGCTTTGTGCTAAAATCAGAAGAAGGGAGAGCAGTTCAAGCTGTAGTGATTTGTCCTAGGCTTGTTCTCAATTGCCCTGTGATCCCTTAAGTCTTTGATGTTGCACTTCTCTCCTGTTACAGTGAGAGTTGTAGGAGAAATACATCTGAAAGCTGTCCTTACTTTCAGTGCTCCTTTTCTTCTATTATCACAAGGGTCCCACTGTCACACTGGAGATCTTCGAAATAAGAAAATTTCTTTGAAAGCGGCAGCAGGAGTACACTGCTTAAATAAGATGATCTTAGCAGAGTAGGTGGTCTTTTAGTGGAAGAGAATAAGGAAAAATAACCTTAACTGGCTCAAACATTTGGATAGCAGACAAGAAGGCATTCAGGGTAGCTAGGAAGTATTTCATCCAGGTCAAGAATTCAGGATCTTTGTTCTTTCTCAGTGCTCTTGAATTTCTTCCACGACAGAGTCCTAAATTCTGCTTCGTGCCTGAAATATTTTGAAGTGAGATTTTACCACATTACAATTG